TCTTCAAATATTACTGAATACCTCTTAGATATGGAAGAATTCGTCCTATCATCCTACCTTAGTCCTCACAATCACCCATGAATGGGGGAAATGAATGTCGGCCCCCTTTGATAGGGAAACTAAGGTTCAGTGACTCAGTGACTTTCCAGGGCAACACAGCTAATGGGGAGTGGAGCCGAATTAGACCCAGTGTGAAAATTCTGCTCACGCCAGGATCAGTGGCTAGCACCTGACATCCCAATTCTTTGGGAAGCTGAGGAGGGAGGGTTATTTGAGGCCAGGAGTTCAAGACTAGCCTAGGCAACATGGCAAAACCCTGTGGAAGAAGGGAGGGAGGGAAGGAGGGAGGAAGGGAGGGAGGGAGGGAAGGAAAGAGGGAGGGAGGGAGGGAGGGAGAGAGGGAAAGAGGAAGGGAGGGAGGGAGGGAGGGAAAGAGGGAGGGAGGGAAGAAGGGAGGGAGAGAGGGAAAGAGGGAGTGAGGGAGGGGCTCTTGACCATGTTATCCCACCATCTCTTTTTTTTTGAGAAGGAGTTTCACTCTTGTTGCCCAGGCTAGAGTGCAATGGTGCAATCTCAGCTTATCACAACCTCTGCCTCCCAGGTTGAAGTGACTGTCCTACCTCAGCCTCCTAAGTAGCTGGGATTACAGGTATGCGCCACCATACCCAGCTAGTTTTGTATTTTTAATAGAGATGGGGTTTCACCGTGTTGGTCAGGCTGGTCTCAAACTCCCAACCTTAGGTAATCCGCCCATCTCAGCCTCCCAAAACTCTGGGACGACAGGCGTGAGCCACCACGTCCGGCCCTACCGCCTCTTTTAAACAACAACAGAGGAGGACCCCTTCTCCACATGAGATTAGATGGCCTCCTTCTTCATATTTGCAGGATTTGTCAAAGAAAACCTGTAACAACAGGAGGCCAGTGTCAATTCAGTATGTATTGGTTGAACCCAACGGTATCCACGAACATTTCAACAATAGCTTAAGAAGTATTGGAGATCTATTACTTATTTTTTCTACCCGTGTTCTGGTGCTCACGTGGGCTCAAAGATCCTGTCCTGACAATGCTGAGCTTTTCCCAGACATCTTCTTGTGGGACGAACCATTATACAGACAAGGAGACTGAGGCTCACTGAAGTACAGGAACCTTCCAACTCAAGTGCCTGACTTTGAAGGTGATCTTTCCTGAGAGATCACTGATCCCCGTCTGCCTAAATGTAGCTGCATCTGGTAGTGTAGAGGCTCTGTGTCTCCTAGTAGCACCTGTAAGCGCCTGGGGGTCACAGTCCAAGCTGACTCATCTTCATTCCCCACTCTACCTGTTGCCCAGGTGAGACATAGTAGGCGCTTATCTCGGATGGTAACAGCGGAGAAGGCGAGCAGTGGCCAAACACGGGAAAAATTAGGAAGGTAGTACGTACATGACTTGCTGATGAATTAGATTTGGGGTGTGGGAGACAGAGAGGAATCAAGGATGGCTCCAAGCTTGGGGATCAGCTGGTGGCGCATTTGCTTAGGGAGGAACAGGGGATGGCCTGGAGCTGGGCAGGTGAAGCTAGAATTGTCATCAGGAGCTGGGTTCAGGAGCCTGGATTTCGAAGCCAGAAATTTGGGAGTCAGTGGGGGATGAATGGGATTAAAAGGAGGGGAAAGTGTGGTGGCTCACACCTGTAATCCCAGCACTTTAGGAGGCCAAGGCAGGTGGATCACTTGAGGTCAGGAGTTTGAGACCAGCCTGGCCAACATGGTAAAACCCCATCTCTGCTAAAAACACAAAAAATTAGCCTGGCGCAGTGATGTGTGCCTATAGTTCCAGCAACTCAGGAGGCTGAGGCAAGAAAGTTGCATGAACCAGGGAGGCAGAGGTTGCAGCAAGCTGAAACTGTGCCACTCACTCCAGCCTGGGTGACAAGACCGAAACTCCATTTCAAATAAGAAAAAAAAAAAGAGGGGAAGGAGTGAGATCCCTTATGGAAGAGGTATATTAAGAAAGAGAGGCCCCATCAGGTGGCTCATGCCAGCACACTAAGCACTTTGGGAGACCGAGGTGGGAGGATTGCTTGAGCCCACGAGTTCAAGAGCAGCCTGGGCAACATGGCAAAACCCCACCTCTACAAAAAAAAAAAATTAGCTAGGAATGGTGGTGCATGTTTGTAGTCCCAGCTACTCAGGAGGCTGAGGCAGGAAGATCCTTGAGCCCAGGAGGTGGAGGTTGCAGTGCGCCAAGATCATGCCATTGCACTCCAGCCTGGGTGACAGAGAGAAACTCCAATTCAAAAATTAACAATTCTATGGCATTTAGTGCATTCACAATATTGTGCACCCGCCTCTCTCTAGTTCCAAAACATTTCCATCGCTCCAAAATAAAACCCCGTACCCACTAAGCAGTCACTCCCATTGCCCTCTCCCAGCAACTCTATCTGCTCTTTCTACGGATTTGCCTATTCTGGGCATTTCATATGAACAGAATCATACTCTAGGTGGCATCTGTGTCTGGTTTTCATTGAGCATCCTGTTTCCAAGGTATACACACGTTGTACTGTGGCTCAGTGCTTCATTCCACTTTAAGGCTGAATCACACTCCACGATGAGGATTCAGCCCGTTTTGTTTTCCTATTTCTCCAGGCATAGACATTTAGGTTGCTTCCACCTTTTGACTAATGTGACCAGTGCTGCTTTGAACATTCATGTACAAGTATTTGAGGATTGTTTTCTCTTCTCTTGGGTAAACACGTAAGAGTGAAATCGCTGGGTCATAGAGTAATTTTATGCTTAACTACTTTTTGAGGCAATGTCACTTCCCCATAGAGCTTTCCCTCAATTCCTATTCCACCCACACAATGGCTTTTTGGTTTTGTTTTTGTTTTTTTGACACAGAGGGTTGCTCTGTTGCCCAGGCCGGAGTGCAGTGGCACAATCTCAGCTCACTGCAACCTCTGCCTCCCGGGTTCAAGTGATTCTCCTGCCTCAGCCTCCTGAGTAGCTAGGACTACAGGCATGCACCACCACACCCAGCTAACTTTGGTTGTTTTTTGTTTTTTGGTTTTTTTTTAGAGACAGAGGTTCGCTGCTGTTACCCAGGCTGGAGTGCAATGGCACGATCTCGGCTCACCGCAACCTCCGCCTCCTGGATTCAGGCAATTCTCCTGCCTCAGCCTCCCGAGCAGCTGGGATTACAGGCATGAGCCACCATGCCCAGCTAATTTTTTGTACTTTTAATAGAGACGGGGTTTCACTATGTTGGCCAGGCTGGTTTCAAACTCCTGACGTTGTGATCTCCCTGCCTTAGCCTCCCAAAGTTCTGGGATCATAGATGTGAGTCACTACACCCAGCCCACAGAATGAATTTTGCCTCCTTTCTCTCCTATAGCAATTTTTTTACTTTCATAGGGAGTCTTGCTCTGTTATCTAGGCTGGAGTGCAGTGGAGCAATCTTGGCTCACTGCAACCTCTGCCTCCCAGGTTCAAGTGATTCTTCCACCTCAGCCTCCCCAGAAGGTGGGACTACAGGTTTGCGCCAACACACTGGGCAAATTTTTGTATTTTTAGTAGAGACATTGCTTCCCTACATTGGCCAGCCTGGTCTGGAACTACTGGCCTCAAGTGATCCAGCCACCTGGGCTCCCCAAAATGCTGGGATTGGAGGCGTGAGCCGCCACACCTGGCCTCCCATAGCTATTTCTAAAATACTCCATCAGTAGATGTGATGGCTCACACCTGTAGTCCCAGCACTTTGGGAGGCTGACATGGGTGGATCACCTGAGGTCAGGAGTTCTAGACCAACCTGGTCAACATGGTGAAACCCCATCTCTACTAAAAATACAAAAATTAGCCAGGTGTGGTGGTGGGCACCTGTACTCCCACTACTGGGGAGGCCAAGGCAGGGGAACTGCTTGAATCAGGGAGGCGGGGGTTGAAGTGAGCCGAGAGTGCCCCACTGCACTCAAACCTGTGTGACACAGTGAGATTCCATCTCAAATAAATAAATAAATACACACATATATACATACATACATACAAACACTCCAACTACCAAGGCTGGGATTCAACCCCAGAACTTCTGATTCTAAATCCTGGTTATTTTTGTTTTTGTTTTTCTCTGCCCCACACTGCTGACAATCTCCTGCACCTAGGACTGCCCTCGTTCAATAGATGAGGACCACAGGTTATAAGCCTCTTCGAGGCCACACAGCTCCTAAGCGACAGAGCTGGGCTCTAGATCTTGAGCTGCCATGACTAATCTTAAAACACCCTCATCTACACTGTGCTCCTAAGATGACAAACAGGTAACAGAGAAAAAGAGAGGGAGAAAGAAAGAAAGAAATGCAGAAAGGGCCGGGCGTGGTGGCTCACGCCTATAATCCCAGCACTTTGGGAGGCTGAGGTGGGTGGATCACGAGGTCAAGAGATCGAGACCGTCCTGGCCAACAAGGTGAAACCCTGTCTCTACTAAAAATACAAAAATTAGCTGGGCATGGTGGTGCGCGCCTGTAGTCCCAGCTACTCAGGAGGCTGAGGCAGGAGAACTGCTTGAACCCAGGAGGCGGAGGTTGCGGTGAGCCGAGATCATGCCATTGCACTCCAGCCTGGGTAACAAGAGTGAAACTCCGTCTCAAAAAAAAACAAAAAACAAAGAAATTCAGAGAACAAACAGATAGAAAAAGAGAGAAAGTTTGCCCCTTCCAAACAAAATACCATTTTATTTTGTTTCTCCACCTTTTCCAATTTTATGCCAGCATGGAGTGAGGCGCCAAGGGCAGGGGTGGTGCTCAGGTGTGGCCCACCAGGCGTGGGGTGCAGGGGAAAGTCTTACGCATGCCCATGCACTTCTCCTTGTCAATGCAGAGGGTGTTGGCCTTGATGGCGAGCTCATGCTCCAGCCGGCACTTGGTCATGACCAGTAGCTGCAGTGTGTCCTGTGTCTCCCGCAGCCGCAGCTTGAGGGTCTGCAGGGTATCATCGATGGTGAACACCTCATTCACCAGCCTGCAGTGAGGGCAGAGGAGAAGCTATGGTTATTCGTTTATTTATTTTGTTTATTTATTTATTTTTTATACAGAGTCTAGCTCTGTTGCCAGGCTGGAGTATTGTGGTGCAATCTCAGCTCATTGCAACCTCCATCTCCCAGGTTCACAATTCTCCTGCCTCAGCCTCCTGAGTAGCTGGGATTACAGGCACACGCCACCACACCCAGCTAATTTTTGTATTTTTAGTACAGATGGGATTTCACCATGTTGCCCAAGATGGTCTTGATCTCCTGACCTCATGATCCACCCACCTCGGCCTCCCAAAGTGTAGGATTACAGGCATGAGCCACTCCGCCTGACCTTTTTTTTGTTTAAAAGTAATTGATTTGATTCTGATTATAAAATACAGGTCAGGAGCATGGGCAATGCCTGTAACCCCTTGGTTATGTATCTTTCCCGTCTATGCTTCTATAAATACCCTTTGTACAATAGCAAGCTCACACTGTCCCCAATGGCTTGCATATTCTAACAGCTGCAGAGTATAGTATATGACCAGGTGGAAAGTTAAACAGACTCACCACTCACAAGGAAGGGCCCCTCCAACTTGTCTTCCGGCTCCCTTTTGCTAATAGTAACTGGTTGCTCTTCCTACTGATCACAGATAAATTATACCTACAGAATTCTCCGAGTGCTTTCAAGTAACCTCAGAAAGCAGTGACGAAGACCCTTTCCTTGCTCCCAGCTTCCTATGTCCCAGGCTGCCTGTGGCACCTCAACGCTGCTGCCTGCCCCTGGGTCCCGCACGTTCCTGATGATGGAGGAAGGGCAGGTCAGGCCAAGCATGAGGAAGTAAGAGTCTTTACTGGGCTCAGACCAGAGTCGGTGGGTCTTGAGGACCTCTGTGTATTTGTCGGTTTTCTTCTCCACGTCCTTCTCGGCCTGTTTCCATAGCCTCATGAGCTGTTTTTTCTTCTGGTCGTGGATCTTGGCTTTCTCCTTCCTCTTCTCCTCCAGGGTGGCTGTCACTGCCTGGAACTTCCGGCCAATCTCCTGAGCCAGGCGTCCCAGATAGGCCAACTTCCTTGTAGGCTTCAGTCACACGACCATGAGGGCAGTGGGAACCGCCATCCGCTTTTTCTTGTCGTAGGGCGGTGGGACGCCGTCAAACACCCCGAGGTGGTCCAGGGTGGCCCAGCCTCGACGGGTCTTGTGGGGCAGCACGCCTTGCACCGTCCGCCGGAAGATGCGGCTGGGGACCTCAGGAAGAGTTGGTGTTCATCCGCTTGTGGAGGAAAGCCAGCACTTCAACTTGTTTTTATAGAAATTGCCAGAAATATTGAGGCCCTCACAGCATAAGACCACTGCCTTCCAGCCCAGGAGTGCCTGCTTAGCCACGATGTCTACAGGCGGCCCAGGAGACGGCCGCGGCCGTGGAGCACCAGGACCCGCACCTCTGTCATCTTCGGCAGTCACCTGGGAAAGCTGTTTATTATTGTTTGAGACAGTCTCGCTCTGTCACCCAGACTGGAATGCAGTGGCATGATCTCAGCTCACTTCAGCCTCTGCCTCAGCCTCCTGAGTAGCTAGTATTACAGGCACACACCACAATGTTCAACTAATTTTTGTATTTTTTTGTTTTTTTTTTTGAGACGGAGTTTCGCTCCTTACCCAGGCTGGAGTGCAATGGCGCGACCTCGGCTCACCACAACCTCCACCTCCTGGGTTCAAGCAATTCTCCTGCCTCAGCCTCCCGAGTAGCTGGGATTACAGACACACACCACCATGCCCAGCTAATTTTTTGTATTTTTAGTAGAGACGGGGTTTCACCATGTTGATCAGGATAGTCTCGATCTCTTGACCTCGTGATCCACCTGCCTCGGCCTCCCAAAGTGCTGGAATTACAGGCGTGAGCCACCATGCCCGGCTAATTTTTGTATTTTTTTAGTACAGGCGGGCTTTCACCAAATTGGTGAGGCTGGTCTTGAACTCCTGACCTCAAGGAGTTCACCTGCCTTGACCTCCCAAAATGCTGGGATTATAAGCCTGAGTCACTGTGCCCAACCTGACACAGGTTATTCAGCTGTTCAAGTTAGATGCACTCACTGTGTACTGGGAACTGTGCCTGGCACTGAGAGACAGGCAAGGCTTAGCCCTCCAGGAGAAGGTAGAGGCAGAACAGGTAGACAAGGAAATACATGAGACAGCTGTCAAGGATAATGTACACAAAGTAAGAAATAAGGATGATAGAACAGGACAGGAAACCAATCTGGAGATTCCTCCGTGAGTTTGACATAGACTTACTATCCAGTCCAGCAGTTCTGCTCCTGGGTGTACACCCAAAAGAATGAAAAACAGGTGTTCAAACCAAAATGTGTACATCAGTGTTCACAGCAGCCCCATTCACAATAGCCAAAAGGTGGCAGCAGCTCAAATGTCCATGGATGGATGAGTGGATAAGCACAATGTAATCAAGCCACAAAATGGAATATTATTCAGCTATAATAAAAAAGAATGAAATACTAATACCTATTAGTGACAACATGGATGAACCTTGAAAACCATTATGCCGGGCCAGGCACGGTGGCTCACGCCTGTAATCCCAGCACTTTGGGACGCTGAGGTAGATGGATCACGAGGTCAGGAGTTCGAGACCAGCCTGGCCAACATGGTGAAACCATGTCTCTACTAAAAATACAAAAATTAGCTGGGCATGGCAGCGGTTGCCTATAGTGCTTGCTACTTGGGAGGTTAAGGCAGGACAATCACTTGAACCCAGGAGATGGAGGTTGCAGTGAACCAAGACTATGCCATTGTGCTCCAGCCTGGGCAACAGAGCAAGACTCCATCTCAAAAACAAAACAACAAAAAAACATTATGCTAAACAAAGGAAGCCAGACACACACACAAAAAAAAACAAAAATTGCATGATTACATTCACATGAAACATCCAGAATACAGGCGAGGCGAAGTGGCTCTTGCCTCTAATCCCAGCACTTTGGGAGGCTGAGGAGGGTATATCATCTGAGGTTGGGAGTTCGAGACCAGCCTGACAAACATGGAGAAACCCTGTCTCTACTAAAAATACAAAAAATTAGCCAGGTGTGGTGGTACATGCCTGTAATCCCAGCTACTTGGGAGGCTGAGGCAGGAGAATCGCTTGAACCCAGGAGGCAGAGGTTGCAGTGAGCCAAGGTCACACCATTGCACTCCAGCCTGGGCAACAAGAGCAAAACTCCATCTCCAAAAATATATATATATATATATTAAAAGAAACATCCAGAATAGGCAAAGTCATACAGATCAAAAGTTACTGGTGACTTCCATGGGTCAGGGGGTGCAGAGAATGTAGAAGATTGCTTAATGGATACGGGTTTCCTTTTGGGGGGAGACCCTTAATCCTCTTAGGGTTCTAAGAGCCCTTCCCCCTAGACTTCTACAGTGTATTTCAATGGAAGTAAAGGCTGGCAGACCAGGGCGCCACCCTTAATCGCACTCCTGCAGATCACGGGCATGGTGTGGAGGAATCTTTCTGGAAGGCATTGTTTTTATTTAAACACTATCACACCCCCACCTAAGTCACATACCCCACACCTGCTTCATGGATCAAGACCCTTTCACGTGTAATTTCTGGAGTTGTAAGCCTTTAAAAGGGCAGGGATTTTCTTTGTTAGGGGAGCTCTGCTGTTAGGCAACTATGCTGTGGTCGCTGTTCCTGGCCGAATAAATCACCCCTTCCTTCCCAGTTCGGTGTTCAAGAGGTTTGTTTTGCGGCCTTTCCTGCTACAATAGAACTAGAGAGTGGTGAGGGTTGCATAACAGCGTGAATGTCCTAAATGTCACTGACGGTAAATTTTGTGCTACTCCTACTTTATCACACTTTTTTTTTAATAGACACAATAACAGGGCTAGCTTTGTCTCCTTTACTGTCCAGGGCACTGTCCCCAGCTGCTGAGTCAGTTTTGGCTGCTAAAGGCCCACAGATCCGCACTTGTCCAGAGAATTACGTTGCTTCGCCAATCACAGCTACCTCACCTGGGAAGAGAGTCCCTGCCGGTGGCCACAGACAATGGCTGGCTGACTCAGGTACAAAGGGTCTCAGGTGCAGACATCTGCGTGATGCAATTCACGGTCTGGAGCCCCTTGGAGAGTCAGCTAAGCTGGGCTGCCCCGTACTACTTCCCCACACCTCTCCTTCTGAGGCTTTGCTTTTCTAGAACTTTCTGAGGACTTTTTTTCTTTTTTCTTTTTGAGACAGAGTCTCACTCTGTCTAGGCCAGAGTGCCGTGGTGCAGTCATAGCTCACTGCAGCCTCAACTTCCTCAGCTCAAGCGTTCCTCCAGCCTCAGCCTCCCAAGTAGCTGGGACTAGAGGTGGTCAAAACTGCACTCGGCTAAGTTTATTTTTTGTGTAGAGATGAGGTTTCACCATGTTTCCCAGGAGGCCTTGAACTCCTGGGTTCAAGCAATCTGCCTAAGCCAGCCTCCCAAAATGCTGAGATTACATGTGTGAGCCACTGCACCTGGCCGATTTTAATTTTTTTTTTTTTTTTTTTTTAGACAAGGTCTCCCTCTGTCACCCAGGCTGGAGTGCAGTGGTGCCATCATAGCATACTGCAACCTCAAACCTCTGGGTTCAAGAGATCCTCCTGTCTCAGCCTCCCGCACAGCTGAGGCTACAAGCATGCACCACCACACCTGGCTATTCAAAAAAAAAAAATTTATAGGGATGGGGTTTCTTCTTTTTTGCCTCCAGGTTAGTCTCAAACTCTTGGACTCAAGTGACCCTCCTCCCTCAGCCTCCCAGGCGAGGACTTGGAGCAGAGAAGAAAGATCAGACTGAGCTGGACATGCGAAAACCAAGAGAGAAAGTACACTGCAGCAGTGCCATGGAGCAGAACTTTCTGTGAAGATGGAAATGGTCTATATCTGCACCATCCAATATGGTACCCACCAGCCCCATGAGGCTAATGAATACTTGAATGTGGCCATGCAATTGAGACGTTAAATTTTTAATTGTATTACTTTAAAATTTAAATTTTGGCTGGGTGAAAATTACTCACACTTGTAATCCCAGAACTTTGGGAGGCTGAGGTGGGTAAATCACTTGAGGTCAGGGGTTTCAGACCAGCCCAGCCGACATGGCAAATGCCGTCTCTACTAAAAATAAAAAAAGTTAGCCGAGTGTTGTGCACACCTGTAATCTCAGCTACTTGGGGGACTGAGGCACAAGAATCGCTTGAACCCATGAGGCAGAGGTTGCAGTGAGCCCAGATCATGCCTCTGCACTCCATCCTGGGTGACAGAGCAAGACTGTCTCAAAACAAATAAATGAATAAATAAGGCCGGGCACGATGGCTCACATCTATAATCCCAGCACTTTGGAAGGCTGAGGCGGGTGGATCACAAGGTCAAGAGATCGAGACCATCCTGGTCAACATGGTGAAACCCCGTCTCTACTAAAAATACAAAAATTAGCTGTGCATGGTGGTGTATGCCTGTAATCCCAGCTACTTGGGAGGGTGAGGCAGGAGATTTGCTTGAACCCAGAAGGCGGAAGTTGTGGTGAGCCGAGATCGTGCCATTGCACTCCAGTCTGGGTAACAACAGTAAAACTCCATCTCAAAAAAAAAAAATAGAACAAATAAATAAATCAGCCAGGAACAGTGGCTCATGCCTGTAATTGCAGCACTTTGGGAGGCTGAGGCAGGGGAATCACTTGAGGTCAGGAGTTCAAGACCAGCCTGGCCAACATGACAAAACCATGTCTCTACAAAATTTAGCCAGGCATGGTAGCACATGCATATAATCCCAGCTACTAGGGAGACTGACGCAGGAGAATGGCTTGAACCAGGGAGGTGCAGGGTGCAGTGAGCCAAGATTACGCCAGTGCACTCTAGCCTAGGTGACAGAGATTCTGTCTCAAAAATAAATAAAATAAATAAATACATTTAATGAATTTAGTTTTAGATTATTTAAATAGCCACACATGGCTACTGAGTTGGACACTGAGTGCATTTTTAAAGAGAAAAGTCACTGGCATGGTGGCTCATGCCTGTAATCCCAGCACTTTGGGAGGCTGAGGCAGAGAGATCACTTGAAGTCAGGAGTTCGAGACCAACCTAGCCAACATGGTGAAACCCCATCTCTACTAAAACAAAAAACACAAAATTAGCCAGAAGTGGTGGCAAGTGCCTGTAATCCCATCTACTCAGGAGGCTGAGGCATGAAAATTGCCTGAACCAGGGAGGCAGAGGTTGCAGTGGGCCAAGATTGCACCACTGCACTCCAGCCTGGGCAATAGAGAAAAATTCAGTCTCAAAAAAAAAAAAACAGAAAAGCACATGCAAAATTAAGGGGCTCAGGTTTGTTCTCAGAGCCATGGGAAGCAATGGGGTGGGGGTAGGGAGTTTGAAACAAGAGAATGACATGCTGATTCAAGTTTCGGGATAACCTCTAGGCTGCTGTGTAAGATGAGATTGGAGGGGGGCAAGAGTAGAGGCAGGAGAAAGGTTAGGAGGTTACTATGGTATGGCACGGAGCAGATTGGACGGTGTTCCCCCGGAAGATATGTTCAGGTCCTAACCCCTGGTGCCTGTGATGCCGGTAGGAAGTAAGGTCTTTGCAGGTGTAATAAAGTTAAGGATCTTCAAACAAGTTCATCCTGGAGTTAGGGTGACGCCTAAATGCAATGACTGATCTTAGAAGGAGAGGGAGGTTTGAGACAACGGAGACAGGCAGGGGCGAAAGCCATGTTTTGATGGAGGCAGAGATGGGAGCAATGTGGCTACAAGCTGAGGGATACCAAGGACTGTTGACAGCCCCCAGAGCTGGGAGAGGGACAAGGAACAGCCTCTCTCAGAGCCTCCGGGAAGAGCAACCTTGATTTGTGACTTCTAGCCTCCAAAGCTGTAAGGGAATAAACTTGTGTTGTCTGTACCCCCCCAGTTTAGAGTAATTTGTGATAGGAGCCCTAGAAAATGAAGGCAGTAGGTGGACTGTGACAGTGACTGGGTTGTGGGACTGTGCTGCAGGTCCCACCTCTGGGGAGAAGAGACAATGAAATTGTGCTCAGGACTGGAGGACATGAAGCTGGGCAAACTTCCCCATGGTAAACCTGGGCTAGAGGGAAGCAAAGAGAAGTGACAGAAGCAGCGTGGAAACTTCTACCAGCACTGTCCGATAGAACTTTCTAGACCAAGGGAGATGTTCTGTGCTATGCTGTCTGATACGGTAGACCCTAGCCACATGTGGATACTGAGCACTTGAAATGTGGTCAGTGTGAATAAGGAATTGAGATTTTAACTGTATTTAATTTTGGTTAAAATTCAATTTTTTTTTTTTTTTGGCAAGGTGTTGCTCTGTTGCCCAGGCTGGAGTACAGTGGCACGATTATAGCTTGTTGCAGCCTCCAACTTCTATGCCTAAGCAATCCCCCTGCTTCAGCCTCCGGAGTAGCTTGGACTACAGACACATGCCTGGTCTATTTTTATATTTTTTGTAGAGATGGGGTCTTGCTATGTTTTCTAGGCTTGTCTCGAACTCCTGGCCTCATGCAATCCTCCACCTCAGCCTCCCAAAAGCTGGGGTTACAGGCATGAACTGCCCCACCCAGCCTTTAAAGTTCAATTTTAAATGGACTTTCTTTCTGGGGGATGGGTATGGATGGGACCCCAGTGATTGGAGTAGGTCAGAAGAAAAGAGACCACTTGTAGAGGAAAAGGAAAAAGATGGCCCAAAGGCAGGAATGGAGGGGATGGGGGCACGGACAATCATGCACAAATGGGACAATTTAGCCACGGGAGAAGAAAGACAGCCTGAGTCTTTTGATCTCAGTTCCCAAGATAGCCATGCACACAAACCAAAACACAACATGCACAGATGCAGACACACACACAGCCCAGCTCCTGAACCAAACATGCGCCGCCCCCTTGCCCTCTGTCTGTCCTCCTTAGTGGTATGACTGTCAAACAGAAAGGCAGAGAGCTTGCCCCAAAGCAGTAAGTCCTCCAGGACATCTGGCAACTCCCCCCAGAAGCCCCTATTTTGTAGAAGTCCCCCGGGGGACTGGGCACAGTGGCTCATGCCTGTAATCCCAGCACTTTGGGAGGCTGAGGCAGGTTGATCACTTAAGGTCAGGAGTTCAAGACCAGCCTGGCCAACATAGTGAAACCCTGTCTCTACTAAAAAATACAAAAATTAGCCATGCATGGTGGTGCGCGCCTGTAATCCCAGCTACCTGGGAGGCTGAGGCAGAATTGCTTGAACCCAGGAGGCATAGCTTAAGTGAGCCGAGATCACGCCATTGCACTCCAGCCTAGGCAACAGAGTGAGACTCCAAAAAAAAAAAAAAAAAAGAAGTCCCATGGGGGAGGCAAAGGGATCACCCCAGGAGGTGCTGGGGCTCAGCCTGAGCATCTAAGAAGTAGAGGCAGGTGGAAGACAGATCAGCAGAGACCAGCCCCCACTCTCCTGCACCCAGGACCTAGACCCATCCAGCCCACTTCCAGGGCTGAAGACCTTACAAGCCAGCAGCAGGTCTGTTGGGTGTTGCTGTTGCCCAGGGTGGAGTGCAATGGTGCAATCATAGCTCACTGCAGCCTCCAACTCCTGGGCTTAAGCAATCCTTCCACCTCTGCCTCCCACATAGCTGGGAGTATAGGCACATGCCACCATGCCTGGCTAATTTTGTATTTTTTGTAGAGATGGGATCTTGCTGTGTTGTCCAGGCTGGTCTCAAACTCCTGGCCTCAAGTGATTCTCCTGCCTCATCCTCCCAAAGTGGTGGGAAACCGCGGGTCCTCAAGTTCAAAGCCTCGGATCACTTTGCCTGCCCCTCCACCCCCACCCCAACACATACCCTGCTTTTTCCATTTCCTAAATGGTTATCTAGGTGGTAACTGAGGCTGTGCAAAACTCATCACTTGGGAATCACCCAGTACTTTTTCTTGATTATCTGTCTCCTTCTCCTGACTCCTATCTCTTTTCTTGACATCTCTCCACTTCTAGGAGTGAGGTCTCCACACCAGGATGTAGGGAGCAGCGTCCATCGCTACACCAAGACCCGCACTCCCTGCCCAGTGAAGCCCTGGCTTTAATGCTGTGTGACTGGGACAGCTTTTTCACCGTCTCTGGACCTCAATTTATCTTCCCATTTGACAAAAGTAGGAATAATTGACTCCCCAACTCCCCTAGGAGTAAGGCTAAAGGGGAAAGAACTCAAAATAAGCTCAAGGGATTGCAGTTAGACATCAGGGTGAACTTCCCTTGCTATAAGCTAGTGCTTAAATAATGTGCCCAAGGAAGCCTGAGGATAATCCTTTCCATCTTCTTCTCTTGGGGGTATCAACTCAGTGTCTTGTTGAAAGAGAAGTACTGCTATGAAACCAGGTGAGCACAGCCCTGGGCACAGTGAATGCAGAATAAGGTTTATGGAGTAAATGAGCTGCTGAAATGGGGCCAAACTCACACTCCTCCCACTCCACCAGAAGCCCTGTTAGTGCCCATGGGAGGAAGTTCCAAGGATGACCCTCAATGATCCCCACCTCTTGGTAGCATACCCTTGAGTGTGGGCTGGACCTAGTGATGTGCTTCTAAAGAAAAGTATGCAGAAAGAGTGATGGGCTGTCACTTCCATGGTTAGGTTATGAAAGACTGTGACATCCTTGCTGCCAGTACCGTCATTGTCCTTCTGGCTTGCATGCTTTGTTGGAGCAAGCCGCCATGCTGGAGAGACCCACAGGGCAAGGAAGTGAGGCTGGCTGCCAGACAACAGCCCGCAAAGAACTGACTGCTGCCAACAACCATGAAAGTGAGCTTGGATGTGGAACCTTCCCCAGTCTAGCCTCGTGATAAGACCACAGCCCCAGCCAACACCTTGACTGCAACCTGTGGAAGACCCTAACACATGGAACCTAGCAAGGAACCTAGCCCAATTCCTAACCCACAGAAATTGAGGAAACAGATATGGTTCTTTCAAGTCACGACCTCTTGGGGTAATTTATTACACAGCAATAGACAACTAAGATAATGCTTCTAGCATGGGGGAACGGAATGGTCAAGTGGTTTTCCCCAAGCCAGACAGGACATTTATGGGAAATAATCCTCATGTCTAATGACTTGTTCCCTCTTGGCCTGGCCATCATCCTATTATTATCCATGCCCTTCTGCCCCCTACAAACCTCCTTTCTGGGCTGGCATGAGCTTTTCACCCCATTTCCTCTGAGAAAGCCCTTTGTCTATAGATGCCAGCCTTTTTAGCACAGCAGGATGGGTGGGATCCATCAGTGAGGAGCTCATGAGGCTCTTCCAGGGCTTCATGGTGAGAACTTTACAAAGAGGGAGATGGGAAATGAGTGAGGAATGAGCCATGTGCCTCTTTCATGGGAGCCTGGAGAGAGAAGGTGAAGCCACCGCCCAGGAGGCTACCATCTCTTTGGCTTTCAAGGGAAAACAGGAAGGTTTCTAGAGCACAACAGAGTTACAAAACCACCCCTCGTTTAGGCAGGTGAGAAAACCACAGCGCACAAGGTGGGGCTCCCAGTGAAGAGGAAGCCATGCCGTGGTTCAGCCCGAGCTGCATCTCAGAACTCTACCCACACCCTGCAGTCTGTTGAGTTGTGGCACTGGATGTCCTAATTGTCTGTGGGTCCATTTATCAGACCCAGTGCACCTCGGAGCTCCAGAGACCCCCCTCCCGCTTCCTGGATTCCCAGGGGTTCTCCTACCTCCTCTGGCCTCCCTCACTTACTTGAACTGCGGGGTGTCCCTGCACAGCTCCATGTTGGGGCGCCAGGTCCGACACTCCAGCCTTGTCTGGGCCACCTTCAGCGGGCCCTCTTTGGCCATGATGGACCTTTCCAGCAGCATGATGGTGTTCTCAGCCTGGAAGATCTCCTGCAGTGTCTGTGGGGAACACACAGCAGTCACCACCCACCAGGCCCTCCTGACCTCCTCTGGCTGGGGGCCTGGATGGGGCTCAAGTCAACTAGGTCAGCCTCCAGCTAGACACTTAAGATAGCCCTTCCCCGGCCTTGAGCACCTGTGGGGAAGGGAGCTCACCCTTCCTAAGAAACCCTGAGAAGCTGCTTCAGGCACGACTAGTCACCAGGGCACTGTGGATGTGGAAGATGGCCCAGTACCATGGTAGTTTTTGTTCTGAATCTCCAAAAGCCATTAGAGTTGCCAGTCAGTATTCAGTAGGAAGAAAGCAAAGGAAGGGAGTGACGAAGAGGGAGAGAAGGAAGAAGGCAGGCCTTTCAGATTAACAGAGACTGTTCACAACAGGAGCCAGTCTTTAAGCCAGCTTCACTTCATTTGTATATAAGAATACATACATATGTATTCAAACAGATCCAGAGTTTACCTTCTTAGTAAGTACCTTCTTGGTTTTTTTTTTTTGTTTTTTTTTTTGAGGAGTCTTGCTCTGTCGCCCAGGTGCCCAGACTGGAGTGCAGTGGCACGATCTCGACTCACTGCAACCTCTGCCTCCCAGGTTCAAGTGATTCTCCTGCCTCAGCCTCCCAAGTAGCTGGGATTACGGGCATGTGCCACCACACCCAGCTAATTTTTTGTATTTTTAGTAGAGACGTAGTTTCACCATGTTAGCCAGGATGGTCTCTATCTCCTGACCTTGTGTGATCCACCCACCTCGGCCTCCCAAAGTGCTGGGATTACAGGCATGAACCACCGTGCCCGGCCAATAATTACCTTCTTAATTACTAAGAAGGTAAATTCTGGATCTGTATGTATTTTCCATTATTCTTATTATTAAGTACTTTGACATGGAGTCTTTCTCTGTCACCCAGGCTGGAGTGCAGTGGCATGATCTTGGCTAACTGCAAACTCTGCCTCCCAGGTTCAAGTGATTCTCCTGCCTCAGCCTCCCAAGTAGGTGGAATTACAGGTACTTGGTACCTTGCCTGGCAGATTTTTGTATTTTTAGTAGAGATGGGGTTTCACCATGTTGGCCAGGTTGGTCTCAAACTCCTGACCTCAAGAAATCTACTTGCCTCAGCCTCCCAAAGTGCTGGAATTATAGGCGTGAGCCACTACACGCAGCCCATTTTTTTTTTTTTTAAACAAATCCAGAGTTTACCCTCTTAGTGACTAGATCAGTGAATAAAGAAGAAAGAAGGTGGTGGGGTGCCTTCTAGCCACCTGTTGATGGACATGTAGGTTGTTTCCACTTTGGGGCTATTACAATTAAGAGCTGCTATGAGCATTTGTATTCAAGTCTTTGGGCAGGTATATACTTTCATTTCTTTTGGGTAAATGCCTAAGGGTGGAATTGCTGGATCAAAGGATGGTTGATGTTTCACATTTTAAGAAACTGTCAAAGTTTTGCTCCCAGTTTCCAGTTTTCATTCCCACCAGCAGTATTCAAGAGTGCCAGTTGCTCCACACCTTCATCAGTACTTAGTGTGGTCAGTCTTTTTAATTTCAGCCATTCTTGTGGATATGAAATGGTATATTGTGGTTTTAATTTGCATTGTGCTTATCTCTTTGAAAAGTAGGTCTTCAGAGAAGCATGTGGATTAGCCCAGGAGGTACAGGTGGGCAGAGAGGGGGTGGAAACTGAGGGGTGAGAATCACAGATGATATTAACCAGAAGAGGCTCCTATCCCCACACTCCTCCTATGGTCTGCAAGCACCAGCCACTGAGGTGTTAGAGCCAAGAGGGGCCTGGTATTTCCAAGAGAAAGGAAAATATCACTTCTGATATCTCCCAATACATTTAGGTGATTATCAGCAGGCCCTAGAAGCCCCCAAACTCCCCCAGACCCCACCATGTTTGGAGTTGGGCATTAATATAACATGGAGGCCTGGTGTGTAATTGCAGCACTTTGGCAGGCTGAGGTGGGAGGATCACTTGAGTTCAGGAGTTTGAGACCAGGCTAGGCAACAGAGTGAGACCCCATCTCTACAAAAAATAGACAAAATTAACCAGGCATGGTGATGCATGCTTGTAGTCCCAGCTACATGGGAGGCTGAGGCAGGGGGATCGCTTGAGCATGGGAGGTCGAAGCTGCAGGGAATCGAGATCACACCACTGTACCCCAGCCCAGGTGATACAGTGAGACACTGTCTCAAAAATAAATAAATAGACTGGGTGGAGTGGCTCATGCCTGTAATCCCAGCACTTTGAGAGGCCAAGGCAGGCAAATCATGAGGTGATGAGTTCGAGACCAGCCTGGCCAACATGGTGAAACCTTGTCTCTACTAAAATACAAAAATGAGCTAGCTGTGTGTGGTAGTGCCTTCCTGTAATCCCAGCTACTCAGGAGGCTGAGGCAGGAGGAGAATCGCTTGAACCTGGGAGGTAGAGGCTACAGTGAGCTGGTATCTTGCCATTGCACTCCAGCCTGGGCGACAGAGTGAGACTCCACCTCAAAATAAATAAATAAATAAATAATCACACGAAAGGAGCAGAAAGGGATCCTGTCCGTTGACTGTCTCAACTGGAATTAAGCAAAGCCTTCACAACTTCTAGCACAAGACTAGCTCCAGAGAATAATCATGGATTACAAAAATAAGTCAACATCAGGAAAGAAACCCAAGATAAAAACCGAGTTTAAAAACCACAGTAACAAGGCTATATATACGGTGCATTCTACTTTAAAAGACACAACCACACACATCGTATGCTCGAAAAGTATTAGCATACCTACTGTGTGTTAAAACGCACACTCTGAATGAAGAGACCCCCAAACAGGCTTTGTGTGAGCAACACGGCTGTTTATTCACCTGGATGCAGGTGGGCTAGGACCAAAAAGGGCGTCAGCCAAGGATGGTGGCATAGGAGTTGGTTTTATAGGTTGTGGGGGAGGCAGTGGAAAGTTACAAAAGTTACAGTTGGTAGGCTTTTTGCAAGCTAGGAGGGGTCCTTGGTTTGCAAGCTGGAAGATGGTCGTAGGGTGTGCAGTCATGAGGTTGGCCAAGGTTGGTTACAAAGTCCAATGGCCTTGTCAATAAGAAACAATAGAGAACCTCTCATTAAATAGAGTTAAGTAGGCAATGGCAGGGGTTGAAAATGTCTTCCTCTTTCCATGATCTTCCAGCCATTTCAGGCTTTCTAATTCCGGAAGGCCATCCGGAGGTGCTGGTCACGGGGGTCGCCATGCCCTCCATGCACAGTCAGACCTTACACTATGTACTCAGAAAAGTTAAAAATAAAATTTGCAGTGATTAAAAAAAAAAAAAGCTCTAGAAAAGCTCAGTTCAGGCCATTCCCTGAAGTCTCTCTTCCTAGAAAAAGCTAAGGGGCTGGCCACAGGCTGGCAGGGCCGAGAAATGACAGAGCTACTGATGTTCACCCAAACCAATCTGGATTGCCATGCCCCTGGCCAAACCTCTAGCTGTAGGAGTGCATGACACTCATCTTTTGTGTTCTGGAGCTTTGATATCTGAGGCCTTGTTGACTCTAGAGGCACTGCCCCTCCCAGGGTTAGCCAGTTCCTAGAGGTAAGCAGACAACTAACTCTGGAGCACACTCTTCAAAAGCAAATCAACCAACCCAGAGCTCACAGTCCAACCACCAATCCTTTACTGTGCACTCCCTGTCCACCAGGCCACAGTACACCTGCTCTAATCACCCCAAGGCCAGGTACTATTCAACTAGGGACAGTCCCTATGCCCTGGAGCCCACTGAAAGGATCCTCATTAGCCGTTCCTAAGCCTCTTACTCTGCCCCACCCAGCCCTTCCCACAGAAACCATAACAAAAGCTCCTGCTCACATTTCTCCCCCTCCCTCCCTCCTTCCTGAGTCACCTCAATGCTCCCCATGTGGACCCCTGTGGTGTGGAATCCCTCCCACAATGGGAACTATTTTTTCCATGGTGATCATCTGCTGATCTGCTGCCCTTAGTCTGGCTTCTTTTACTTAGCCTATTGTAAGAATCATTCATATTATTGTGTCACTGGTCTGTTTCACTTTACTGTTCAATATTCCACTGTAGAAATAAACCAGGGACAGAAAGTTAAACACCACATGCTCTCACGCATATGCAGGAGCTAAGGTGTTGATCACAGAGAAGTAAACAATAGAATGGAAAACACTAGAGGCTGAGAAGGGGAAGGGAAAGCGTGGGGGATAGAGAGTTATTAAAGACCACAAAATTGGGCCGGGTGCAGTGGCTCATGCCTGTAATCTCAGCACTTTGGGAGGCTGAGGCAGGCGGCTCACCTGAGGTCAGAGGTTTGAGACCAACCTGGCCAACATGGCAAAGCCCTGTCTCTACTAAAAATACAAAACTTAGCTGCCTTTAATCTCAGCTACTCAGGAGTCTGAGGCAGGAGAATTCCTTGAACCCAGGAGGCAGGGGTTGCAGTGAGCCAAGATGGTGCCACTGCACTCCAGCCTGGGTGACGGAGCAAGACTCTGTCAAAAAACTAAAAATAAAAAAGATCACAAAATTCCAGTGTTTTATACCACTGTAGGATAACTATAACATAAATTCCAAATAGCTATAAGTAAAGCAGGAAAGGCCGCAAAACAAACCTCGAACTCGGAACTGGGAAGGAAGTGGTGACTTATTTGGCTGGGAGCATAGATGCCTAACAGCTGAGCTCCCAGCAAAGAAAATCCTTGCGCTTTTAAAGGCTTGCAAGTCCAGAAATTACACGCGAAAGGGTCTTGATCCATGGAGTAGGCGTGGGGTACAGGACTTAGGTGGGGCTTGAAACAATGCCTTTCGGAGGAAAGATTCCTCCACACCACGCCTGCCTCTACGGGA